GGGGGGGGGGGGGGAGCAGAGTGGCACTTGGATGCAGAGTCTCTTTTTATAAAGACAGAAAGTGAGATGAATACATGCTGGAAATGAAGCAGCCAAGAGCTAAAGGGACCAGTTATTATTACATCTTATTAGAGCTGGAAAATAAATGGATTAGTCGATCGGCAGAAAATTTATCTGAAACCGTTTTGATAATAATTTAGATAATTTTCTCGAGCAAAGATGGCAAAAAAAGTTCTATACACAGCTCCTCAAATGAGATCATTTGTGTGATTTTCTTTGTTGTAGGTGAAGAAATACAGACTTTCTTTGTGTTTTTCTTTGTTAGAAAGTTGGTTGGACATCTCTCTCTGTTTTCTGTTCTTATATAGAACAAACAATTCATCAAGAAAAGAATTAATTGGGATTAATTCATTCAATTCACATTGAGCCACAGAAATTATCAAAAAAATATGGGTAAAAAATCTCCAAAAGTAAAACTTTTTATGATTTTTTTAATGTTCACAATGGATAAAGACTTTTTTTAAATTAAAAAAACTGCACCGTATTTAACTCAAATGTAATGATGAATGTCTCCAATATAAAAACAATGATTACCCATGAATATTTCAGTAGGCAAATTTGTGAGGGAGAGTGACTTGGGAGAAAAGAGGTGTAGAAAATGGGGTCTTTTAAGCTGCTGCCACTTCAATTTAGGAGATGAGAATGAGTCTACTGAATAATGAATCTATTCATTGGTTTGGAGAAGAAAGAGGAGCAACAGAGTTGATATCAGTCTGGACTTAAACCCCTGGACCTCTGGGGTTTCTCCGCAATAGCAGGAGGGCTGTTTGAATCCGCCATTTATCAGCTTAGGCCTAATCGAAACCAGGCCTTCTCCGGCCTCGTCCTTTCACATGCAAAATGTTACATTCACTTCTAGTCAACTTGACTTGTTAAAGCTCGATTGATCAAAGGAAAAACCTACGGGCCGGCTTCGCGCATCTGTTTGCAAATATCAGTGATGAGAAAAAGGGTCTGCAGGACGAGGAGGATCTGGAGTCACACATGCAGCCTCCGCTCAGCCCGCATGGGACCAGATTTAAAAGCCCTCTCCCTTCTAAAGACACCAACATTCACACAGCGGCTGGATCAGAGGACCGCTCAATTTGCTAAAGTGAAACGGCAGCTTATGCCAGCGAGTGAATGGATCCACCATCTCTCTTCTACAGCGAGGCAGGCTGAGGGTCACTGACCATCAGGAGGAGAGTTAGCCGTGATGACCTGTGGTGGTTTATTATCATCATCACACTCTCTACTAGAACATGCAGGTGATAAATGAGTTACTATCTATGAGTCCACAGGTGGAAGAGCATCTATGCACTTGGGGCTGTTTTCCTGTCTTTGTAGCGGGGACTTTCTTTGTGTTCCAGGCAGACATTAGACATCAGTGGGACCAAAATCCCTCTAAAAGATGCAACATGGAATAAATAATAAAAAAAGGATTTCTCTCAAACTGTTTATGACCATTTGTCAAGATCAAATTATCGGGGCCATCTGCAATTATACTGGAAAGCAATTACCACAAAGAGGTGAAATGGTTGGTTTAGGTAAAATATATCACATAGTCTATTAGATCATAAAACTAGCTATGATAAACTTTTCTATGATATAAACTGTCACTCTGAACGAAGCAGAGTTTGAGGAAGTTCAACCTCAACACCAGCCCTGACCACAGCCTTGCCTGGTCTTGTCTGCACTACAACTCACACACAACACACACACACACACAAACACACACACAGTGGTGCTGGAGGAGGTCGGGGGTCCCTGTCTGAGGGAGCACTCCGTCAGGGAGTCAGCCGGACAAAAGGTGCAGTGGAGTGAGAGATTGAGGGAGGAAGCGAGGGCGGGTGGAGGAGCAGGACAAAGCCGAGGCAGTAAAGCCTCCTGCCTGATAGCCTTATCTGATTCCACTCCAGCGCTTGATGGCTTTTTTTTCACCCTGCCTTTAAAGCGCACAGGTTGTGCCTTTGGTGTGAAGCCTAGCAGAAAATGTTAATCAAGAGAGGGACTGTGTGGAGAAAGGCGAGAGAAAGGGGAGAGTCACTCTGTTGAGGCCATAATCTGTAATGAGACCGAGGCGATTCAGTTGCAATTGAGAGAGGAAGAATGGGGCCATGATGATGATGATGAGCAGGGAGGTTCGCTCTTTCACTGGCGTTTGTTTTTCTGTTTTGTTCCTTTTCTCTTGCAGACTCACTGCTCGCGCACCGGTCTGCGGGCTGCAAACAGCCGCGGGTCACAACTCATTTAACGCACACGTGGGCGCCATTTTCAACGTCTGCAGCTGACAGATGAAAAACACTGGCGACTGCACGTCTGACAACTATTGGTGCTCATCTGTGTATGATTTATAGTTCCTTTTGTGACCTCCACGCTTTTTGTTTTTTTTTGGCTCTGCCTGAAAGCACTTATAGCTGGCATCAAATGTTCCGTTAAGATTCATAACTGCCATTTTAGACTTGAGTTTTGAAAGGTTTGGCTTCTTTTGTTAAATAAAAAAGGGTTTTGTAGAAAAATAACAGCATTTTTCTGCAGTGACATTAGTAAAACTTCCTAAAAAACAATGTATAAATCATCACTTATGATCCACTAGAAGCGTGTGGTGGTCTCTGTATCTGCAGAGACCCTGTCCTCTGCCTGTATTTTTTATTTCCTTCTTATTTTGCTGTGTTCGAGACTCTTCTGGGCGTCTGCAAAGAGCATTTGGGCCCCACACGGGGGTGTAAAACTCAGCCATTAAGCAGAGTGTGCAGCCCGTTCTCATTCCCAGGTCAAACACCGTCGCTTCGTCCCGCCCCTCGGCGTACCGAGGCACAAAGTATGTGGCCCACTTTAGCCTCCGACACAAAACGGCTGAGTTGTTAAATCACTGTGGTTTTTTTAATGTGCGTCTGTGTATTTCCACTGTCAGTGTCTTTGCTACGTGATGCTATATCGAACAGTGACAGACCTCACAGGCAGGCCACAGCACGATGAAGCGTGCTTTTGGCTGCATTCATTCAAAATCCGGCACCTTCCCCCGCACACACACACACACACACACACACGGGTCTATTGTGTTTTTTAACGAGTTCCCTTGTTTGTTGCTCTTTCCCGCTTAATCCCAGACTTTTGTTTCTGCTCCTCATCACACTGTATAAAGTGTCCCATAATTCCTTTAACAAAGGTCACATTCAGCAGTGGAGAGGAGGTGACCCCCTTTCTTTAATAGCAGGAGAATGTCAGAGTGCAACATGCCCCACATATACAGCCCTAAGATATGTGATTAGGAGCGCGAATTTAGAGCAAATAGCATTCACACACACACAGAGATGAACAGAGTCTAAACCGATCTTTGACTGCAGCAAATGAGGAATAGGTTTATGGGATGTTCTGGGTCCGTAAACATGTGATGATGCTGTAAATCTACTGCCCCAACGCGATGAGACAAAGGCATAAAATATGAAGTGTGGTGCTGGAAGATAAGGAGGTAAGAGGACTAAAGCGCCAAAAACCTGTGAACCAGGCCAAGCGTATCATTGCACAGTACAGAATGAGCTATTGTTGTTTTTAAACAGGCTCCGCATCAAACGTAAAGATGGAAATCTTATCTGAAATAGTGTTGCAGGAAAAGCCCAGTAAACCAGCAGGAGGTGCAGGAGAAGTGACTGAGCCGGTCTCCAGACTGATGAAGCTCGTTTCAATATAATTTGTAGCTTTTAAATATGTGATGTATTCAATCACTCTCTCCTCACTTCATCAGGTAGTAAAGTTTATATACTGTCTATTCTTACATGAGTTTAATGCTATGATACAGGTGAGATGTTTGGCATACAGATTTAACTGAGCCGATGAAGATTAAAGGATCAGTAAACTGAGTCGGTTTGAATGAAACTTAAATTATTCCATATTTACTTAATATAGAGCAATCTCAACCATTGTTGACCTGAATTTAATGTAGCTTCCAGCAGGCAGGTAAACACCCGTCAGCTGACAATTTATTTTCTTTCCTGTGAGCATAATAGAAAAGAAAAGAAATCGCAGGGATGAGGTATGCAGGTAATACAGGTACATACCTGTTCAAGCAATTACAATAACCCGTATGTGTTCCCATCAGAGGCCACACTGACCAGCATTGGTTTCTCTTAACCATGACCATGATCTCACCTTTATCCTAACAAAGTAGTTGTAGTTGCCGAAACTTAAGTATTAGACCAGTATGAATATTATTCATATAGAAATTAGGCTATTAAATAACATGTCAATCATCTGGTGTAGCTCAGAGACGGCTAACAATGCTTGTTTGGTGGGAACACTTTTATTTTGTAGCTAGCAAGGTAATAAAAAACAAGCATACAAGCTGGTGGTAAGAAGATAAAATATTGTTTATGTCAGTTGAAGTGCAGTCATAGTAAAAGGGGAAAGGAGTCATTTTTGTATCGGTCAAAGCTTCTTATGTGTGTCCAAGACAATAAAGACCCACAATTATACAAATGCTGAGTACCGACTGGTACATCAATATTCAGAGCGCCTCCCCGGTGTTGTATAAAACAGTCTTTTCAGAGCAGAATCTGGCAACGTGTGCTGGTGTCTCTTGAGTGGGTACTACAATGTAAAAGAGGGTGACAGTATTTGGCAGCATTCTCCCGCAGGCGCTGTTGTTGCTCCATGAACGCTCGACTCCTCCCCCTCACTTTCTCCCAAAACACTGAGCAGCGTGTGTGTGTGTGCGTGTGTGCATTTGTGTAGAAGGGGGCGGTTATAGCTTTGGCAGAAAAACAAACAAAGACAAACGTAGCGGCCACACTCCCGTCTCTGGCTGCACGCCATCGGCCTCACCACAAACCACAAGTTATTGCACATACACACACACACACACACACACACACACACACACACACACACACGCGCGCCTACGCCCCAATCAGCTCCTGCCGCAGATCCACACTGATATGCCCGCCGAGGGTCCAAATCATCTGTCGTATTGCAATACCAGATCTCCAGAGATTACCTCACAAAGGAAAATCATCTGCTCTTATTGCCCTGCCGCTCCTTGACATTGTGCCATTAATAAGGCCATTGTGGAGGGCGCTCTCTGTTTGGACGCCGTATAATAGACTCTTTGACAGATTGACTCTCTCTCCCTCCCGGGCCTATGAATACAGCGGGCATATTCCACGCTGCCGCTCATCAATAGGCGAGCTGTTTGTTTGCCCAGTCATTCTGGACTGATGGTAAATACATAGAGGTATTCCCGACCAAAGGCTGAGCAAACAGGGGTTACATAAAGGCACTGTACCCCCCCGCACACACACACCTCACACTAATGCCCGTAACCTCCCTTCATCTCTCTTTTAAGCGACTGGTCTTTCTTATTCATTCGCTCGACCGTACGTGTCTTTTTAGGCTCATTCACTGTTTGAAAACAACAATTAGGGCCTGAACTCCGCCCACAGGTAGAAGACAGTAATAAAGGCTGCTGCTGCTGCTGGTGGTGGTGGTGGGTGGGGTCAACGCGCGGCTGGCTTCAAGGCCGCCAGGTGTTCCCTATCAACATTGACATTCATCAGAGACCTCAGCCTACAGAGTCCCTCACACAACACATGCTGTCGCTGGTTAACAGGCGCTAGTTGCTGCGGCATGGCAACACAAAGGAGACCACAGCTACTTGACATCAGTGTCACCCCGTTCTCCACACACTCACAGTCTGCTCCGCCTGGGTTGTTCACCACAGTCACATATTATGGGGCCATGAGGCAGGACTGGCCTCCAACATCCAGAAAAAAAATGATAAATTGGCAAATTTCATATGATATCCACCCAAGTCTAACCGTCACCTACACCTAATTATCATCGGATCACCAAAGTCATTACGATTAATCCTCTTGGGAACATGAATATCTTTTTCAAATTCCATGCAATGGTTGTAGAGATATTACAGTCTGAAGTGACGGATACACTGCTGCTACACTCCAACCTTAAACCAAAGCTGTAGCCTGACATCGCTCTGAAAAGCTGTCATATATGCATGAATACAAGGACACACACACACACACACACACACACCAAAGTCCATTCTCCTGTAACACAACAAAAGCTTTCCATTAGTAATAACCTTGCTGCAGGATAGTGAAGCCAGCTGCAGGGTTCTTCATCCTGCTTGATTATCGTCTGAACAAGCCCGTCCAATCAGTCCCTTTCATGGGTGCCAGCCCTCACGGGAGAACTCTGACCTGACTAACCTCCACATAGGGCTGGCCCCTCAGCCTTGACCTTAGGTGTGGATGCTTATTGTCGGACCCGCCAGCCCCAGCACACTCACAAAGGCTTGAATGCCAGAAATTAGGCACTAGAGGAGGGAAACTAGAGAACTCCTGGCTAAACTCCTGTTTGCAAAAAAAAAAAAAAAAAAAGGTACTTCTAAAAAAAATCAAGTGCTGTAATTGAGGGGACATTTTGAGAGTCGAGAGGAGTGTTAGTAAACGCGTTGGGTGTTTGTGTTTTTCCACGCATCGTCTACTAACAGGAGGCAAAGAAGAGTGTTGGCAAGCTGAGATAGATTACACCTTCAAACATGGCTGTGTTGGAAAGCCCTTGATTATAATTTCACACAAAGCATTTTCAACCAGGACACGCGTCTTCTTCATCTATCCATTGAAATGATTCATTCTGACCCAAATCTCCTCGCCTGCTTCAGTACAGCCTCCAGTGGACTCTAAGCCGTTAGATAGTAATCAAATGAATGACCCTCCATATACAGTTTCATTCAAACAGCCTCTGAGGCATCCACAGTGTTTCTCTTTAATTACCTAGACTCCGGCGCCCCGCCAAAGTCTATTTTGTCCAACCACAGTTTCATAATGAACCGAAAATATCTTTACGCCTGTGTGAAAGGAAAACAATGTCCAGAGAATAAGGTCGGGACATTGTCCAGAGTTCAAATAATAAAACGGTTGAAGATGTGTTAAGGGTAATGGGTTTAGTTTTGTTCAGTCTGCCTGAATTTTAAAATGTAGTTTAAAGGGATTAAATAATCTCATTTTCATTCGATTAAAACTCACAGTCCTCGAAGTTGGAGCAACCTTTGTTGCTATTTGGCTGCCGAGGTGTGTCATCTTGCAGTTTGGAAAGCAACTTCAGCACCTTTGTTTTTCTCTCCTCCATCCGTCCGTCCTTCTCTTCAGTTCTGTCGTCAACACTCCCGGGCCTCCTTCCTTCAGCCGAGGACTCGCCTCGGTCCCCCCATCCCGGATAATTGGCCTCCTCCTCCTCCTCCGTGGGGCCCCCTTCCACTCTGCTGGAACCTGGAGCAGAGAGATAGAATATAAAAACACATAAAACAATATCTAGTAGTATTTTGCTTATTGCTCAGCACATGGATTAACTTTTTAAATATAAACAATGTAATCGCCACAGTCCTGAACTAGAAGAAAACACATAATGTATTCATGGTCAACTACGAGGAAGTAGCTACTTGGTAAAAAAAGCACTAAAACCATTTCAGCTCCTTTAATAAACATCACATTGTTCTCCTAAATGCCACAGTCACATCTCCCTTCGGTCCTTTCAGAGTCTCACTGAGGAGCGGACGCTCTCCCTGAAACTTAAACAGCCATCCATTTTGTCACTGACCAGCCAATTAAGAGCCCCATTATCTCTGAATATAAAGTCCACAGAATACACTCCTTGGTGTGGCAGAGCAGAGACAAAGAGCCTCGTCAATGCAGACTCGAGCTTAAGGAGGGCTCCGATTGTCTTTTGCAACAGTTTCCATAAAACGTTTTGGACTCTTTTCTTCACGCTATACTTTTGCAAACGTGATGCTCGCGTTAGTGCATGAGCGATAATTCAAATGGGATACATTTGGAGATGGTTCTATTCATTGGGAGGAGAAAGCTTGACCAGTCGAGCAGCCGACAGGCAGCAGATTCATCAAGCCGTCCAAACGTGGCGGGGTGGATTCATTTATCCCGTCGGTGAGCGCTCAGAGGTCAGCAGCCCAGATTGATGGAGCCGTGTCTCATTTGGCAGGCCGTCTTCCGCCACACTGCACACAATCACACGCTCCCGTCGGCCTCCACGTCCCGCTGAAGTCTCAATGTCACCAAAGCAGACGACGGGATGAGAAAGGTATTCATCTCTGGAGCGCAGGATTCATCATTCCTTCAGGGTTTTTTCATAATGCAGCATAAAGCAAATGCAGTGATGTCATGATGAATGTGATGAGAAGATAATATTTTTCAAAAATCTAAAACTTTTCCTTAAATGCCTCATACATAACATCAGTAGAAATCTGTTTATTTTTCTTTTAGATTAATCTGTTGTTAAATTTTACAATTAAACGATTAATTGTTATTAGAATATACCATAAAATGCTCATTATTGGAGAAGGGTCTGGTATATAATTAACTTATAAAGTTTCATCAAATTAAGCAGCAAATAACTTGTAGTGGTAACGTTAAATGATTACATTAAGCTTTTTGCATTTTTTTCTGTTGTGCTAAAGTTAGGTTGCTAACAACATTAGCGTAGCTAGCTAACATTGTACAACAACTTATTTGCTACTGAACGTTACATTACCTAACTTTATAAGTTCAATTACATCAAAGTATTAAGGGTGCATCTTTTACCTTGGTGTTATTGGTGGAGGTTGTGTTGCATGGACGTGATATACTGTATTAAAAACACACGATTTTCCACCTAAACACACGTGAAAACCTGTGATTTGATGTTTGAGGTTTTTCCTTTATGAATGCTCCTAATGATTAATCAAGTAAAGGATTTGTTGATAACCAATTTCCTGATGATGAACTAATTATTTCACGACTGGTTAAAAGTCCAAACTGTTCCAGTAGTGTACACTCTCTAAAGTAGGTTGAACAACTCACATTATTCAGGATTTGGTTTCCTCCCGTCCAAACCCTGCTATCCTAACCTCCAACACGGACTAATCCGTGAATGCACAGCAGTGATTACTGGTCAGTTCAAGCTGGAAACAAGAGCCCATCTAAAAACACACAGAGCAGGTTACCATACCAACTGCAGCATCTGAACACTGCAGATAGCTGGATTTGGCTGCGAGCGAGCGGCCGAGTCAAATCCCCTAGTTCATCCGGAAAAGGCTGCCGAAGACAATAAACACACACACACACGCCGCCCACCCTTCGTCCGACTCTCTCCAACACACACACAGCGCCTGCCCTTTACCATCCAGCGCACCAGGCCGAGGCAAGAAGGTTGGACTTGTATCTCTTTCTTTGCGTGTTTGAGAAAGGGATGAGCATCAGCGAGACAATCAGCGTGCCGAGGCTATTCACTGATGCCACCCAGAGCTTTCACTCCTCTATCTGCTGACAGAGAATGGCAGAATTTATTATTCATGGGGAGAGGATTTTCCTTTCAGGGCTCCTTTATCGAAGCCTTTCCCAACACGTCAGCCTCTCTATCAGCCCTGACAAGTGCCAATCAAAGAGCTTGAGTCCAGGTTTTTTTGGGGGAAACGCTGGAGGATTTTGGAGACAATAGCCAATGAGTCCACAGTGGCGGTGGCTTAGAGACAATGGTGACATGGCTACACTGTCAGTGTGTGGTCCTCTGGGGGGAAACGATCCTTACACGACTAATCTCTGCTTGCACCATCTCCGTCTTTCTGGAGGCTAATCTGTCCCGTAGCTTCCTCAGCTTTCTGGAACAATTCACCAGGGTCAGTTCAGATTAGTGCTCTTTGTGGCCCTCGCACATCGCTACATTCATTTGGACGCTAACATCTTTAGTAGCAGCTGAATGCTAAACTCTGGAGTGAGCGCGGAGTGACTGGGGCACAGTCATGAAACAATTACGAGGGGAGGGATTATTCTACCTATGAATTCCTGATGAGCAGCAAACAGACAACGGTCCTAACATGAGCCTCACTGGGGAGCATCTTATCGCAGCGTCACTTTCATCTCACAATCGGTCAACTGCTGTCGATCGATCCAGAGACAGGAGGGCAACTCACTGATATGGAACGGGCATCAGAGATTTTACTCATTCAATTTAAAGATGTAAAAGTGTTAAGGGTTACTGAAACCATCACATAATGTCGTCTATGGCTCTGCTAAAGTTTTTAAAAAATGACATTATTCAGGTGCATTATGGGAAATGTAGGATGCAGTGGTTTTGGAGCTTGCCAGGATCTGCTCTTTCCATGTCGACATTCTTATTTTGACACCAGTCTCTTGTGAGTTCCCCAAATGTATGGACGTGTCATTCTAAATTGCTTTTATTGTTTTAGCAAATAGTTGACTTTAACACATCCAGCAGACACGGAGCAAAGCGTGCATTCAGTTTGAGTCGTGTTTCCGTCCACCTGATCAAGGTTGAGTCCCTTATTCACTCTACTTTTGGCTTTGTTTTAGAATACAGCGGCCCGCTGCTGGAAACGTGGTTGTTGAGAGTATTGAGACGGAGTTGTGCATTAAGTTGCAGGCCAGAAAGATTTTGATTGGAGATTGGAAAATTCACAATTATATAATGCAAAGAAAATGAAAAGTTTGTATTGATATATAAATACGTTATATTTTCAACCCATCTTCCCTGAATCTAAATGTTAATCAGCAGTTAGTCATGTGAACTAATCAACTATTCCAGATCCAAATGGTGTCTCCAACCCATTTTCCCCACTGTCTCATATACATTGAGTCATAATGGGGTCATTCCCTCCATTACTCTGGAGCCCCATTTAAAGGGTTTAACTGCTCGCACCTCCAGGGTAACCAAATCTCACCTATCCAGACAAAGACATGCCACACACTGGGCATCTTATAGAGACGGTGTGACCTCAGGAGTGACCCCTCCACGCCCTGCTGATGACCCCCCCCCGCCCCCCCCTTCCTTGTCCCCGTGAGTGTGGCCATGCCTTTGGCCTCCAAAAGGTCAAAGCACAGCCATCACCAAGATCCTCTGGGTGACGTCTTCCTTCACGAGTCCAGTTTGCCTAATTCTTACAGGGTAGTTAAACAGTGACAGCTTTGTCGTGAAATGTGTAAGGAGTTTAAAAAAAGCTGCATTTTAACAATTTCAGACATTGTATTCTATGACGATTGATGCACATTGTATTCCTTTAACAAGCTAATAAAACAATCACTCTTTGAAAAGAAAAGGCTGGTAAATGATATAAAACTCATTCCTAGTTCCAGAGATGACGGGTGTGATCACACAAGAAACTGAGTAACACATTGCACAGCAGAGTCAACAAGTGTCTGTATATATGCCGATACATTACAGGGCCCTAGACCAACTCGGGGGCCCCTGGATCAGTCTTTCATTCACCATTGAGTTCTCCTTTCCATGATAAGAGTGCTTTTGCACCTCCATAAAGTCGGGGGAGTTTAGCGATATAGTGGAAAGTGGCAGCGTGCATGACTCCAAATCTTGACCACAGTATCGGGTGCACAGTAGTGGCAATAAGAACAAAGAATCCATAGGTCCACCTTCCTCCGTCAAAACCAGCAGTGATAAAATAATTAAGCTGAGCAGCCATGTTGAATTAGAAAGACATATCACTGTGTCCTTGGCCTTAACGGTTAGCTGCAGCTTGGCCCTCAGACATATCAATCACTGATATGATGGATGCATTTGTAACATTCTCGAGGAATACTGAATACCACGGACCATTAGCGTGATAGAACAATGACTGATACCGGACGAGGGAGTCACCGGCGAGAGAAAAGAAGCAGTGTGACAGATGTGGTCAGATGAAAACAGGTGAAAAAGAGGGGTGGCCCTCCATTTTTTATGTCGTGACCGTTCCCCAGTCGACCTTTTTCCTGTCTTGCGCTGCCAGATTTCCAGTGTTTGTGGTCCGTACAGTAAGCGCTTCCTCTGAACTGTCCCTCATGAATGTACACAAGCCGGCCACACAGGTGAAGGTGATACTGCCAGCCAGCTGGCCCGAGCAAGGATTAGCGGGCTTAAGTGTACCGGAGGCAAGGGAACGCCAAACACAGCGCTGACAGTGAGGAGACAATGGATCCTCATAAACCAGAGCTGACGGGGACTGAGTGGGCTTTTACCGGATCAGACGCTAATGGTGAAGACGGGCTCTTGTATTGATTGAATATTGTTGTTATAGGCTCTTAAGAGAGAGCGCCAGTTTTAACAGAGAGGAGATATGCCAGAGCGGCACACACAGATAAAGAGAAATAATTATTTTCTGGGTAGGTTTAAGGGATACAGTACCGTGATCGGACACGCAGGGAGAACCGGCTGATCTCAGCATGTTGAGCGATGGACTCGGGTCTATGATCCATGAAGACGGAGACCCAGAACCTCCTTCAGACTGATCCTGCAGGGACACAGAGGACAGAATAACCAAACTTGACCTGTTATTAGTTGCAAAGCCAAGACATCATTCTGGGTGTCCAGGGCTCTAGAGTGCACGTTTATTTTTTTTAAATATAATTTTTAGTCCCGTTCGCCACAGCTCTGATTGACTCTCGATAGCAACGGTGGCTAACGCTCATGGGGGGGAGAGGGGGTCTGTGTGTCGGACTGTTTCTTAACTGTGATGACAAGACTCCAGGAGTTTGATTGGACTTGTATCAAACTTCTCATCCGACTCTCTGCAAGAAAGAATAAGCAGATTTCTCAAAATGTCAAACTATTCCTCTAAAACTTCAGACACTCCTGAGTGTCAATGTTGCAGAACATTGGACGTTTCACTAAACGAAAGCAGCATCTCCTTCTTCCCAACTCCAAACCCACCCCTGGTTTATCACTTTCTCTCCTTTATAAATAATCCAGTGTGTGGATATGTGGTTCGGTGAGGTGCATTATGCAAATGCTCATATGAATCCTGCTCTGAGCGCTCCAGCTCGTCATTGTGGTTTGGCATAATTGCAGGGGGCTTATGAGTCTCATTCATGGTTTTCAGGGGCCCTCTCTCATTCGTCATAAAGGGGAGATTAATCGTAGATCACGTGGAGCACCTGCGTCCATTCCGCTGCAGCCCAGCATGCACAAGCCCTGTTTACCCCCCCTGACCCGTCAACCCTTGTCTGATCCTGGTGCTGGTGCATCCTCTGAAAGAATCCCACCGTGTCGGGCGTTTAGCCAAGCGTACCCCCCTGCGACAGAGCAATGAGCTGGTGTAAAAGCCCGCCTGCTCCGGTACAGTCAGGCCCCCCGCCCCTGCAGCCCGTGACTGATTAACCACACACCTGCTGCACGCCGCGTGCCCTCTGTTATATTGTGTCTCAATTATCAACAACAATTTGGCCCTTCTAACTGGAATGACAGTTATAAATGCATGCCAGTTCAAGTCTGTAAAAAGGGGGTCTTTGTGTAGGCTGGTGACTGTGTGCGCCAGGTTTGGGGTTTTTGTCTGATGGGAGTTGATTGTCGAAGGTCTAGTGTTTGCTCACGACAATGCGCAAGCCTGCTTTTTGGAGGAAAATCTGATAGATGAACGGAGGAGGGGGGTAGAGAGTGAAAGGCGGCGCACCATAGGGGCAGCGGCACTCACCGATTTGTTTTCCTGGACTTTCCCTGCAGAGTCGCACCTTTCAGAGATGCTGCCAGCTGTGAGGGGCCTCAAACCACCTGACAAAACCACACAGGACACAGCGTCAAGCTAAAAGGAGAGGAAGCGATTGTGTGTTTGCAGTCAGCAGGCATGTGCGCCCGAGCATGTGTGTGCATAAGTGTTGGCCTCCGGCACACACTTACCTGCACTTGTCTTTTGTACTTGAGTATGTGTGCACAGATATGAGTAATGTCGTGTATTAGTTCCAATTATGTCTCTTAACCTCTGAGCAAATAATAGCAAAAAAATAGAGCAACAAAACCCTGGTGGAGCACCTGTCTACAGGAGTGTGCCAGGTGCAAACATTGTTCTGGAGACACAGAGAAAGGAAAGACAAGCTTTCAGCAAACTCAGACAGATTTTCTCTTGTAAACATTGGTGGCACAGAAGCAAGGAAAACAAAAGCACATATTTCTCTTTTGCTCTTTTTTCCCCCCACAATTGCATCTTGTGATATCTACGCAGCCGTGCTGATAGATTTGGTTTTATTTGTTCAGGTTTTGAGATATCTGCAGCTATGTCAAAAACAATGGAGCTCAATGCAATTTCAATGGTGCTGCTAACTCAGACTCAGACTCGTTCAGGAGAAAGTGGTGCCAATGAAAATTGTTCACAGTTGAGGTCTGTGGATTATCCTGAGTGAAGCTACGGTCACATATACTTGAAACAAATTAGCTTGCACTGAGTGTCATCCGATCAAGTCTAAAGACGATAGTGTGCATCTGTTGTGAATGACCACACAACAGAAGGCAGAGCAAAGAGCTGCCGACATAGAGCGGGAAGAGACATGATAACTCGGGAGAGGGTGCATCAGACGCTGTTCGTTCAAAGCATACCGGCACCTTTTGCCTTCAGTGCAACAAACGTGTCACTGTAAGAGAATCAGGTATCAACTGATGGCACATCACTGAAACAAGGATTTCAGTATTTCACTGTTTCTATTGGTCAAACAATAACACATGTGCAGGTCAGAGTTGAAGAAAGATCAACTATGACCTGTGAGATTGCACCAAAATGGAACACTATTTTCTTTCACACTGGTTTTAATTGATGTGGCCGAGCCGATATTTGCAGAGATTGTTGCTTAAAAGTGTCAGAATGCCTCAACCTGTCAAACAGCATCTGAACCCCCCCCCCCCCTGCACACCTTTCCGATGACAGAATCGTGGGGGCATTGGGGTGTGTCGTATTGGGATAGAGACAACAATCTCAGCGACATATATCTCCATACCTGGACAAATAAACCCTAAACTATCTGCCTACCACTAAAGTTAAGTGAAAGATGTTCTTTTATAATTAGCTGAACTGAATCTTTAAACGTCGGCAGTGTTTATCTCTCGCCCCGAAGCGTTATCAGACTATAAACAACAGGCGCTAGACTGAATGGCTTCTCTGCACACCCTCGTCTCAGTTTCTTATCCATTGCTATGCATGCAGTGCTTAGTGTCTCCAGCTATCTTAGTCGGACTTTCCCGGTTAATGATCCACTCTAGCGGTTTGATCTTTACTAATATGGCACGTCCTGATACCCCTATAAACCTTTTCCTCTGACAGGAGGGGGGGGGAAAGCAGTTAAGCACTCGCAGCGGCATGCCTGGGAGAAGATGAGAGGCGGTATCACAGCTCATTAAAATAAAAGCCGCTCGAGCGCCATAAAGGCATCGCTGACTCTCAAGGCCGACCACGGACGGAGAAAACACACCTACAGCGATGTGTTTCCCCCGCTGATTGGTCATGTGTGTTTTAACCTCACACACGCACACACACACACACCTGTTTGACTGCTCCCTGTTATTAAAGTGACGGTTTTTGCTTATCTAACGATCTCATTCAAACTGTCAGAAAGATTTAGTCAGAGCAGGAGGCTTATAAAGTATAAGCCTCCTGCTCTGACTAAATACTGAGATTGCTTGTCAGCCACAATGGGCATTAAAAATACACTCACAATAATCAACAACAATCACAAGCAATGATTTCACATGACCACAAATCACAGATGCTTAATAACAGATCATTTTTGATTATATTAATAATTAAGAAGTTTCAAAAGTTAGAAAGGGAACTTGATGTTGACTAATTGGAGCGGGAACTTCCTCTTTTGGCTGCTGGCATTAATAAGCTGCATCTGGATGTTTTGGCTGGATTGTGTTTGATCCTGGTATTAAACTGTGTTGATGTGGCCTTCCCTCAATATTTCTATCGACATCACTTTCTCTCAATTTATATTAAGTCTTCAAATTTGACAGCAAACCCTTCGTCTTACTGAGGAAATGGATATTGGTTTGCATGGAGATGTTTTATTATCAGAGTTGTTAAATGTGTAATGGGAAATGTGTTGATTTTATTTTGATAAAAATATATTTCTGGTTTTCCGCAGGTCGAATGCGCCTAAAAAAATCGAGTTAGTGGACCTTGAATTAGGTTTCCAATGAATTTTCACAGTCAAAATTGTGGCTTTTAGTGTTATATTGTATTTCTTTTATTGTGTTTTGGTGGAATTTATTGCTGGATTTGATACTTGATCACTTTTCAGAGAAAATGGGCTTTCATTTAAACATTATTACTGCTCTAAATATATCTATGTATACCTCCTGGATCGTACTGCATCATGAAATCAGACCAGTCCGGCACCGGTGAGAGCTCCTCTTCCGGACCGAATAGACTCGGCATGGTCTCGGGCTGCGGTCGGTCCAGGAGGAGCAGGTGAACCCGGGACAGGGAGCCCAGATTCCCGGAGTCACAGCCCACTGTCAGCGCCGCCAGGCCGGGAGACAGCTCTGCAGGGGGAGACAACGAAGTCTGAAATAAGAAAAAAACATCCCGCGGCGCTGCAGCACATAACGAATACCGATGTGACTTCTGTCAAACGGGTTTGCTTTTGTGTAGGTGAATAATTTTGGTATCTAAACAGACCACGGATGGGTCTGCAAAGCAGCTGCTAACAATAAGCAGACAAACAACTTATCACATCTTATATTCAGACATAAAATCCATCCATCCATTTTCTGCCACTTATCCGGGGCCGCAAGGTAGACGAGACATCCAGCTCCCCAGCAACGTCTTCCAGCTCCTGCTGGGGGAGACGGGGGAGATATAGAGCGTGTTCTGGGTCTACACAAGTGTCTCCTGCCAGTTGGATGCATCGGAAGGCATCCTGATCAACTTAACTGGCTTCTTCTCTCTTTTCTTCTACTCCGAACTAACTCCACATGTCTGAGCTCCTTCCACCCTACAGAGGAAACTCATTTTGCACTAAATAAAAAGATTAGGGATCACCAAATTTAATGCAATTCATCCAGAGAGGGAACATGGATGTGTGTACCAAATCCCATGGCAAGATATCTGAAACCACAAATATCAACCTTATGGAGGAGAATTCAGAGGATCACCAAAGTCAAGAGGATTCAGCCTCTTGGTATCATAAATGTCTGTGCAAAAATCCATTTAAAAGATATTTCAGTTCAGACTGACCGACCAAATGACAAACAGATATTTGCATCCCTAGAGAAAATGCATGGTTAAAAAGGTGAAATAAAACACTTGAAGCAATTATGAAAATGTAAACGTGTTTTTCAAAGTACAACAAGTCCTGTGTTAAAAGGAAGAACATCATCAACCGTTGACCTTTGAAGATAATTACACCCAATGACTTGTTGAACTGGATTATGAATATACTGTAAACTACACTGCCTTCTTTACACGGAGCCCAAAAACACCCCCACCCCAGAGCAACTCCCCCCCCCTCTCCTCCTCCCTCAGGCTGCAAAGTTCTCATCGTCACACCCAATTAAAAGCGGATCAGTGACAGTGTGGCTCGGGGCCCATGCAAATCTCCAGCCCACGCTGGCTGGGTGTGGAGCTGCCATTCCTCTCCGAGGGGATTTCACACAACACGCTCTGCTACAGGTACCCCACTAAACACACACACACACACACACACACACACACACATGCACTCTCTCTCTCTCTCTCTCTCTCTCTCTCTCCTGTAAGTGTTTTCCGTTGGGACGTCTCACATGTGTCCGTCTGTGTGCTGACGTTTGGTAAAGTAATCCCCTCAGGTACGAAAAAAAGGAACTGTTGCCTCGGCTGATAAATTAAGGAGTCGTTGAGAGGAAATCCCTGGGATAACCGAGAGCGTGACATAACGTGGCGGGACACACTTTCAGTTAGGCCGGGGTATTAGTCCATCATTAGCCAAAAGTAGCCGCACGAAAGACACTCACAGTGGTAGATAACAAATGAGTAATCTCGTGATTAAGGTGTTGGACGCACTGGTTACCACCCAGTCAGAGTGAGAAAGACAGCAGACATACTTCTTATTTAAATGCTTTATACTTTGGCCAGATTAAGTTTGGGGAAAAAAGGAAAGTCATTGAGTTAAATACCTGCAGTCTCATTATAGGAAGAAATCCTGACTACTTGTCCGATCATGGCTGAGTCCTATCCGTTCTCAGAGCTCCTATCTTATCTTAACTTGAGAAATCCGGACTATAACTGTGAATAAGATTCTTCAATCAGCACTCGTCCTGTCATGCCCGTATCTCTTCTCCTTGTGTGCACGACCCCTGGCAGAGTCCTGCCTCCTCGTAGGCCTCTCCAGAACATGACGTAGTACGTCGATCAAATTCAAAATGAATCGTCGTGGCACTTGATATACCCGTTAATACATGGACCAGCAGATTTAAAGCGCCATTATCGGGTTTGAGTAGCCTTTCAATCATTACAGTTCGGTGATCATATTGTTCCCCATCTTCAATGTCATTGCCATAAAGACCGAGCATCAAAGCTGCTTCCAGTTCTGTCAGTTATTTTGAATTTAAGATTAGGACGGTTCTGTAATAACTAGATTCTTATAGAAAGATAAATGCATTTATAGGAAATATGTTTCTGTAATACAACAACTCTAAATGTCATCCTAAACGGAGATAAGATTTCAGACTCATGACCTTTCTGTAAAGAGGCCTCAGAGCTGTGAAATACAAGTCACACATCCTCAAAATCAAATTGTTTAAAAGTCAAATCTTTCAGGGTTCTGGACGCAGCATTTGAATCCTGACAAAGCTGTGTTAATTTGGGCTGCGCATACAAATGATTTAGTGCCTATTCCTTTCTGTACGCACAGGCTGGGCCTGGGTCCCCACATGTATTAGCCCCTCTGTGATTGAGGCTGATAACATATCTCTATTTGTACAATAAAAATCCTGCTCAGTGGAGCTTTAAATCTGCCCCATTCTATACAAATGTAAATGGTGCTTCATGTCAGTCTCTGATAAAAATCAGTCTGGAGCATTAGCTCACGTTGGGCTTGAGCCCCGAGCTGATTTTTATCACGCTGCGGTCACTATGGCAGCGGTCAAACTGATCCTTCCACATCCTCGGGGCAAAGGCCGTCAGGGTCAGATGGAGGTTCGGGTCAAACAAGCAGGTTAAACACCTTGTCGGGGATTAGAGGGCTATGAGGGAGGTGGAGGAAGTCTTCATTGGCTAATGTCTCTCTCAGCAGCTCACTGAACCACCTCCAGGACACACACACACACACATTTACACATGGTATCTATCACAGGCATGCACACACACACACACACACACACACACACACATACACACACACACACACACATCACATTTACTCTGCTTTTGTTGGGCAACATTTGCTGACACAAAAGACCTGACACGGTGAGCGCTCAGATAAGCCCATCCCCATCTGTAACAAGGCCGAAGTCACAGAGGAAGGAGAGCATGTCTAATGTCTAATTGAGACGTAACTGGGAGCCAGAGAGAGATGGAAACAAACAAACAAACAAACAAACATTGAGCACAACACGATGGTGGCAGTTACAGCTTCTGGTTCCCTCGTCTCGAAATCAATGGGTCTTTGGTTAGATCCCTGAAAATTGAAATGTTGTCTGTTGGTCGGACAAAACAAGCTATTTTAAGATGTTACTCTCGTGTGCACTTTGAAACCATGGGACCTTTTCTTCATTTTGTGACATTTCATAGACAAAATAATTGATCAAATAATGGAAAATGATGTTCACCATGAACATCATCATAGTGTACCGTGTTAGCATGCTAACGTTTGCTAATTAGGACCAAACTAGACTACGAGCAAAGCACAGCTGAGGCTGCTGGGAATGTCATTCACTTTTCAGGTATTCGGTTATATACCAAAGTATTGGACACATTAAAATTGTGTGTGTGTAGGGTACCTCTGTCGGGTGAAGGGCGACCGGATGAGTCCGATAGCTGGTCCAGAGACGGACAGGAAGGGGACCGAGGGGCGATGGCATCCAGTTCATCAAACACGTGGGACTGACTGCAGCTGAGCTCTGAGTAGCGTGATGCTGCGGTGCCACAGCGTCCTGCAAGCAGCACAGAGTGGGTGTGTTGGGTTATGATGATGAGGATTAGATGTTACTTTAATGACACACGTGGGCACAGTGGGTTGATTCATTAGGAAATAATAGTAAACAGATGAAAGGTGTATAAACAATAAACAACTCCATGAGCCTGCTGCAAAAGGGTCAATTAAGGAACGTCACATTATCTTCATTTAGGATGATTAAATCTTGATTAAAAATGTTAAACTATTCCTGTAAGAGAAAACGAGATGGCTTTGTTTATTTCAAAGACTTTTGCTTATGCCATTGGCAGATTTGTTTTGGTTTATTAATGGAATAATTTGTTTAGCAACACACTTAAAGCAAAAGAACATAAGAACAATAATAATTTTCTTAATATTTTTTGAATCGAATGGCATTTCATCCGCTTGTTTTGATTTCAGTAAATCTCAGGGGTGTGGATTGGATTGATAACTGTTGAGATGAAAATAAATAAAGAACACCAGAGGAGCCGACGGCTAAAGGAAAGCTCCCGGAGGACATTTTCTTGTGCAGCTATCGGACCATGAATCTTGGCTGGATGTTGTTGTGGGTTTAGTTAGAGCCTGTCCCTTCCAGGTTTTACACTCTGACAGGTGGAAAACTCCCAACACGAGCCGGGACCTCCATGAGTGAAGCCCCTCGGGCCCGAGTACGGCGTTACAGTTTGACCTCTGTGGCGAAAGTGTTCTCATCTCACCTTCAATAAACAAACACGGGACAAAAAACGCTTCCTTTAAGATTTAACTACCAAAGACCTCACTTAAAGGAATGGTGAAAAAAATCACTAATTACTTATCTCCTCTCAAACCATCAAAACAAAAGTGTTTCGCTCTGGTTTAGGAATCAGAGGATTAGCGGGAGAAACAGTTTCACCGGGTGGTGTGTTTTGTCGTCGTCCTGAAAGAGGCTTGTCGAGGCTTTTCTCACATTAGAAATGCAGAACAGCTTGGCCCCGGACAAAAGGATAATATATACGGAGGCTCTAAAAGGAAAAAGGCTAACTCAGCTCCTTGGTGTCTGCCCACATGGACAAGTTTAAATGTACACATGGAGCCACACTCACACAGTCAAGTATGTGAACAACCACACGCACACATCGCTGCACTATTGTGCACTTGAGCAGCGCGGCGCTCCGCTCAGAGAGACAATGGAGGGACTTGACTTGACACTTCAAAGCATATTGCTGCTGTCAACTCAGCTGTCATTCTCAGCAGACGCGGAGGGCTGCACTGAGTCAGGGTGAGTTTTTCGGGGAGGTTAAAGGTGGCGGTGTGAGGGGGTGAGGGGGGGGTGTCAGTGAGTTTGATAAGAGTAAGAGGCAGACAAGGCCTTCTCTGTGTGCCTGCGGCCCTCTTTTCCCGGTCACAGTGCCGGTGGTATAAGAGCTCAGAGTGGAGAGGCCAGGGCAGGACAGGACAGTGCCCCGCTTCATTGTCAAGGACAGTTACACTCTGGAGATGTTGCTCAAAATGGGTCAGCTCAGGGTCACGCTGTGGATGGTAGGGGGTCTGAAAAAACATGCTGGGGGTCAGAAAGGGCTGACGGAGATGAGAAGTCTCCCATCAGTTGGATACACTATGTATACCTCACATGGTTGAATGTAATCTGCTGCTGCAGAAACTCATCTACCACTAAAAACCACCACATTTTTCTCCCACATACTTTTCCAAGGAAGCACTTATAACCCTCTACAAAACGTCTTAAAGATTATCTCATCATTTTGGGCGAGACAAGAAAAAACAAGACTAAAGGAAAGAAATCTGTTCCTGAAGCAATTTCAATGTGCAAGTGATGAGAGACAAAATCTACACTCCTCATCCTGTGCAAAAAGGGACCCAAGGGAGTGTCGAATTTGGTGCAATTTGGGCGTTCAATATTAATAAACTTAAAATAAAAAGGCGAAAGCGCTGTGTGCAGCAGTGAGGGCGGGGCTTCAGGCCTCTAGGGACTGAGTCAATCATCCACACGCCTTTACAGCTCACTTTTAATGCTGGATGCTGCATATACTAACGTTACAGCCAAACTCTTAGATGCAACAACACTGCACGCAGAAGTACAGGGAAAAAACAAAGTGACTGTCACAGTTGACAGACCAACTGTCTGGTTCAACTCTACATGTTGTAGCTGTGCACAAATTCCTGTGCGATGCTGGACTTCTACTGACATTTCTGGTGTTCTCACTTTTGGTTTAACCTCCAAATAAAGTGCTTTAGATGATCAGGATGAACTGTCCTGTGGTTGTTGTGTTTCTTTCCCTGTCAGACTTCACAGTAGCAGCGTTGTCATCTTAATAATTAGAAGTGACGGACAAAACTATGAAAGTAGACCCAAGTTACAATAAACCAGAATTATCCTTTACGCTTTACACGCTGCCACATTGAAGCCGCATTGAGCTTGAGTTGCCTCCATCTGCAGTGAAATAAATGAACCAGTGACACTCGCTCTGTGTCTGCCGTGAAGAGAACAGCGTGCTCCGATACAGCATGGGCCCCCCCGCAGTACAGCACCACACAGGGAACAGTAGATGTCTCTGATAGAAAAGAGAAAATCCCTACACAATTTCCACATTGTTTGCTTTCTTTCATAAAGTTCCAGGAGGAGTCAGATGTCAGTGGCCCCGTCCTTTATCCCCATTGGGAACGGTAAATTAGCGTCCGCAGGAAAGCTGCGGAGGTATTCTATTGTGGCGTGCCTCCTCAGTGTTCTGCCGTCAGCGAGCGGTGGTCAGTGTGGATTTATGACCATCGGCCTCACGTCTCTCTCTCAGAGCCCAGAGAATAGTGGAGGCACGGGGGAGCCGAGGCTGAGAGGCACGGCACACGAGGTAGGCACCCCGACTTCTATTGTTGGGGCCTCACGCCTTTGAAGAGAGAATCAAACGGTACCAGCTTTTCATCAAAAGCCCTCCTTTCTATTGCTGATTTAGAAGAAAAAGAAAAGCTTTCTGCGTTATTTATTACGGGGTGGGAGGAGGTGGGAAAAACAGGCTGACAGCAATGCTTTCACAATGTGTTGGTGGGGGCAGGAGCATCATAACGCCTCACTATGGAAGCAGGCTTTGAATTCTCTGTCTGGCCCAGTCTCTTTGTCTACGGGTGGATGTCCAGCCATGTTCAGGACAATCGGGCCCCTAAGAACACGGGCAGGAGCGTAGTGCCGGGCAGGGAGGTGGCTGTGAACGAGACATATGCGGCCGGCAGAGCTCATTTCTCACCTCTGACAGGGGAGATGGGAGGCAGGACAGACCAGCGATGAGACTCCAGCCGAGTCACTGATGCAGAAGGGGTCAGCTTTGGTCCTGACCCTGAGGAATGAGGAGTGGTCCTCTGTGGACTCGGGCAGGAAGACCAAGTGGCAGAGGGGAAAGCAAGGGCAACGAGGCCATGATCGGAGGCCAAGGATGGGTGGAGACCAGGATCTACAGATGCATCCAGTTGGAGATTCTTTGATATTTTAGCGCTTTCACTCCTGCTCAGAGGTTTATCTGATTGAGGAAGGACAGCTGACTTTAAGGGAGGGGAGAGGGGTTTGATTTGGCCAAATAGCGGTTCATAGAGTGGAGGGGTGGCCGTAGCATTGGTGGGAGATTGGCGAGGGTTGGATCCCACCGGAGGGTAAGAAGCCGAAGGTGACTTCATCACTGGACAAGGCTGGAGCGGCGAGAAACAAACGCTGCCTTCGGGGTCCGAGTCTCTGATATCTGCTGCAAAACCACAGAGGAAAATTAGACTGTAGCCTCATTTAACACAATCATTAAGTTTTAAAAGCACATATGAAAGAGGCCGCAGGTAATCTAGAACTTTTACCACCAGACAGGACACTGCTCCTGCCACTGGCGAGGTCAGTGCTGCGGCTGAACAGGCTTGACGGTGGACGGCTAAAATCTGAGAGAGACCCGTGGGAGATTGTGGAGGCCGGCGGCGGTGAGAGTTCTGGTTCAGCCGGTTCCGGATGCAGCTTCCAGTCTGACTCCGGGATGGACACCACAGCAGGTTGTGGTGCTCTCTCCGTCTCCTGAACTTCAGCCTCTCCCTCCAGAGCAGGTTGCTCGCAGGAGGGAGATGCCGGCACTGTGTTCGGCTTGCTTTGTTGTCTCTCAAAGTCGCTGTGACGGGTGTTTTGGCGGGGAGGTGCTGGATTCACGGTGGATGGTGGTGGAGCAGCAGCAGGGAGCGGAGGACAGGGAACAACAACAGCAGAGCGCCTTCCTGCCATCTGCACACCATTTCCTCTTCTGTCTGGGTTGAGATGGAAGTAACCTTCAAGAAAGACAAGAAGAAAAAACATATTTCATTCAGAGAGTCGTAAATATTGGTTTGGCAAAATGCATCCAAGAAACGATTTTGGTGTTAAGAGTAAGATTCTTATAAAAGTCACTTTTCACTCGCCAATATGCTGAAGGTAATTTTAGTTTTTTAAACTTCCAGTGTCTGCTTGTGACACTCTCATTGCCCACTGGTTAGGTTTCCCTGCTGGGTGGGTCGGCCTGCTGACAAAAGCAGTGAGATATCGCCCGGCCGGAGCAGCTGCTTTTTTCCAAACTCAACATTCACAACAGTAATCAGACCCGAGGACAGAATATCTGTGTCAGTTACAGGTGTCCTGAAACAAGTGTTTGAGGAATATCAGTGGCAGTTTTTGCGGTTTTGAAGAGGGTTGTGATAAGTTGAGTGGTTACAAACAAAACATTCGGCCATATTCAAATAAAGTTAATAATAATATTACGTTTTGTGAAACTGTATTGATTCTCAAACTCACTGTATTGAATTTGATCTAATAGTTTAAAATGCAAAGGACTCACAGCTCAGATTGCACAAAAAGTAGTTACATAATGTTGGATGTGATAAATGCAGATCCAACTGTTCTGATTCGATTAACAAAAGTAAACTTTTTTACTGAGATTAGAAGATGCATATGGTGGTCTTTAGATTAAAAACCACAATACATATCGCTTTGCTTACAGTTTATATTGAATCCCAACCCATGTATCATGATACGTATTGTAACGCCAGATTCCTGCCAATACACAGCCCTACGGCTCTGTGATGAATACCTCGTAACAGCTTACATGTGTTCATATGGGTGAAGCCTTTCAACGTTGTATAATCGAAAATACTAATAAACAGAAGACCAGAGGCACATCTTATATATATATATATATATATATATATATATATATATATATATACAGTATATTAGATGTCGGATTGATGATAAAATACATTTTTAATACTAGGCTACTTTTACGCTACAGAGAGTGCGTAGCCCAACTCATTTCTACAGCATGTTTTATACATCCATCTCTCTTCCTACAACACCCATTATCTCCCTTTCTCCAAATCCTCTTTGTTCTTCTGAACATTTCCTTTCATCACTCTGAGATTCTCTTCCACAAACATCAACTCCGTCCAGCACCGCCCATTTCCCTTTCACCTCCTCCATTCTTCCCCCTTTGCCTCAGCACACCCCTTCCTTTCTCTCTTCTCCAATTTTTTTGTTGACCGCTGAGAGTGAATGTGTGTGTGTGTGTGTGTGTGTGTGTGTGTGTGTGTGTGTGTGTGAGATAGGGGGGGTGGAGGGTGTCAGACAATCTGCTCTTGTTTCCTGGGGGTCTGCCGCCAAGAGGAGTCAGCACAGGGGGATAAAGAGAACGCATTGGAGAGCACATTTCTGCACTGCCTCCTCTTACAATGCCCTGCCATTCCCATCTGTTACACACACACGCACACACACACACACACACACACACACACCAGTGTACGTGAACTGGTGCATGTGTATGCTTTGTGCGTGCCGATGTGCATGTGAATGACATGTGTCAGAGTGCAAAGCCACGGCGCAGGGCGCAGCACGTTTCTTCAGGGAGCAGGGTTAAGGGCGATTGTGAGGGAGCCAACCACCATATGGCAGAATAATTAGTATTAGACCCCGGTGCTGAGAAATGCCCCCCTCCTCTGCTATCTGCACACACACACACACACACACACACACACCCACACACACACACACCGCCAGCATGGTGAAAGCAGTGCCCTGCTGTGGAGCTGAGGTGTGTGCTGGGAAAAAAATGCCTTCACATCAGAGGCCGGGCTCTGAAAGGAGCGGCAGGTCTCCCGGCCCCGGGCCTTTCACTCCCATCAGAAGACCACCAGGAGGGCGGCGCTGTGGGCACTTCCTCACCAGAGAGGAGATTTGCACTTAACCAAACAACCACAGAGAGAGATTAAGAGCTAACGACGTGTTTGGTGGCCTCTACCTCCACTGCTCCAGGAGGGGAAGAAAAGGCGAGAAAAATTGTTAATGAGCAGAGCTGTGGAGTCAAAGGAGGCAGTGCCCTCCTCCTGTTTGGGCTGCGATGGTGTGAAAGCACCAGGTGTTTTGTTGATAAGCCTCACCGTCCAGCGTTTGCGTCTTTGGGGCAGCGAGAGTGTGCGTTTTCACCATCTTCTCCTGAGATGGAGGCAGCGGTCTGGACTTGGAGCTCAGAAAGCAAGGAGGTCTGAGGTCCTCAGGACGAGCCTTCATGTGAGACAAGAACCGTGGACACAATAAGGGACGATGATGTGGACCATTGTGGGCCTGGAAGAGAAGAAATAGAGAAAATAAAAGTTGGAGGAATAAACTGTTTTCAATATGTTACATAAAACCATCTGAGAAGGTTTCATTATAAACTGTTTGCACTTGATTGGATGAACCATCTGTTAATCAAACTCTTGACAAAGCGAGTCGGTAGAGGAGCGAGAACCTTCAGTGTTGATCTCTGCTCTTCTTTCAATAAAGAAATACTTTCCACTTCTGATATAACTGATGCTATTGCAGCATCAATGCTGACTTCTTTAGGAGCCGCCATTGTTGTTTCAACACACTTTCGTCTCTCTTTAAAAAACCCAAACAAACAATGAAACTAATAGAATTATAATGTATATAAAAAACTAACAAAGATGCAAAGAACATATAAGTCAATAAATAATGAAAAACTAAATCATTATTCGAGGAAAAGATCACTGTATTATTTGGAAAAATACAATTAAAAAAATTAATACACTTTTGAAAAAATGAAAATCCATTGTTATTCTTCTTTTTAACACTTTGTGGTTATTGACATTTATTTCTAAGAAAACATGTCCTGTGTGTCAATTGATATACAAAATAAAAGTCACTCTGTGAAACATCTGTGTCCCATGCTAACACAAACTAAAAGCGTGAATGAGAATCCCTGCTGTGCAGTTGGTGGAGCAGAATTCAAATGATACATGGTGCCACTACTGCCCCCTTGTGTTGTTGAAACAGATCACACACCTCTTGACTCCAGCTGTCTCTCCTTCCTCCCAAAAACCTTCCTCCTCCTTAATATAAAGGAGGCAGAACATTATCTCAAGGGTGATAAAACTCTTTAGAGTACACGGTCGGGACACGCGAGATAAAAGCAGGCGGGACGGTCAATATTGGAAATGTGGAGGGACGGACGACTGCCGGCAGCACGCCAAGCAGTGAAAGCCAGCCCAGTGTAGAGCCCCGGTGCCAGAGACTCATTCAGACCCTCTCTGGCCTTTAGAGAGCAAACAGCTGTAATAAATAACACACAGACACAGGGCTCTATTTGACTTGGATTTGAGCTTCATCTAAAACAAAGTTCAGCCTCTCACCCTTTTAACACACAATAAAAACAAACAGAAAATGCACAGATACATCTGTCTGAATACAATAATGAACCAGGAGAGCTTCAGACAGAGAGAGAAAGGGGGGAGAGAGAGGGAGGGGGGATGGCGGGGGTCACTGTCTGTGACTCACACAGGGAGGATCAGCTTTTAAATCCCTGCACCATCTCCACTGATTCCCTTTTCTCAGATGTGGAGGCTTTAAAGATTTGCATTCTTGTGATGTAAAGAGGGAGAAGTGAGGTAGAAACAGCCGAACAAGAGCCGGTGACAGGGCAGCCTTCCTCCTCCTCGCTCCTCTTCCTCCCCTACGGCCTCCTCATTACCTGTCACTCAGGCCCGTCAAAAGGCTGAGAAGGGCTTTGTGAGGCTAGACTCGGGCTGGTGTCTTCAAACTCCTGAACTTCTGCAGAACAGGTTCGGGCACGAATGTTTTAGCATCGGCTTGTGTCATTACAACCTACGCTGAAGCTCTTTTAATGCACCCACAACACGCAATCACGATCACACATACAGTAGGACAAAGCTGTGTGTCCTGATTCTTATCTCATGTGGTCACACTGATGGATTTTCTGTATGGTCCAACCTTAAAGAGCAGTTTACACTTTCACACAGTTCCCAAAAAATACTAATCATTGTTTATTACTTGCTTTTTCTTCAGCAACTCAATGCTATCGAAATTTAGTGATTGTATTCCTGTGTTTCGGCACTAAAAGTGTATTTCTGGTCCATTCTTTTTTCATCTTAATCTCTTATAACTGATTATTTTAATTCATTCTTTGCCTCATGTCGTTGGGCCAACGTGTTTCGGCTTGTGGCCTTAATCAGGTCTAAAAATTAAGTTATTCTATACTTTTGCTGGAGTTTTACTTCTTTGTGCAAATAAACCTTCCTTCTATTTAATCACAACTGAAAATTAAAATACCGCTGAATAGTGCATCGTAATATTTGTATTTGAACACCATCAACCTAACATCTGAAGTCAATATGAAGTTGTGCAATTTTAATATAACATGCATCTTCATAATGAGAGAAACCAAATTCAGATATTTGTGCCCCTCTGAAGAAAATGACTAAATACTAAAGATGGATCAAATGTTGAGAGCTGCATAAAGTTTGTTGTACAATAAAAAATATAACTTTGCAGCACTAGAAAAGGGGACAGTCGATAATAGTGTAGTTTCTGTACACACCCAGAACACGCGTGTGGGCTCCTTCGGGGCCCCTGCAGGCCTCCAGGAAACAGGCTGACCTCCTGGCGTCAGGCAACCCACACGCTGTCCTCACACAGCCAGAACCGGCTAATGTCATTACGGGCCTGTTTGTGGTCAACAGCTCCCTGATTGAGACGTACAAGTAGCGCTGCTCGATGAATGTAGGAAGTCTATTAGTTAGTCAGAGTCCCAGATGGCCTACAGAGGACAGACTTGCGTGTGCTCCTTCACCCCCCCCCACCTCTAAACACTCAAGCATAACACACATGCACACTCACACACACACACACACACACACGCACACTTAATTACACTCCGAGTGAACCCTCTGACAGGCGGACGACTACGAGCAAAGACAGAAGTGTGTCTATGTCCCAGTGTCTGCAGGAACAGAGAATTCTTCACAGAGCTGATGCACAAGAAGGCCAGGCTTAGACCCTAACAAGGTTAAACCCCTGAAAAAGAGTGACTTTTTAAATCATGGAGATTTGTGTTTCTGCGGGGTGTAATTAGCTTTGCTGAGGGGGGAGGGGGTGGACGAAGGGTCGGGATGCTGGCGAGGGGCGAAGCGGGGGACGACGACAGTGGGGCACATTGTGGAGTCCGGCGGATTCAGGGGAGTAAATCTGATTATCAGCTCGTGTCAGAAGCCAGGCTCAGATACAGCTTAGCATTCAGAGCAACTTTCTACTTTCGATGGTTAGACAATGAACCCCTCCCCCCCTCCCCTCTTTGCAGCCTCAGAGGGCCCGGCAACCCTTCCCCTGAAGCCCCAACTGAAACAACACAACACAGGGTGACAGAACTCAGATACAGCGTTACATCCAGCGCTGGAAGAAGTATTCAGACTCTGTACCTAAATGGGAGCTGGACCCATTTTACACATCAAAGTAGTAGTACTGCATATATGAATAAGCATATTGTGGCTCCAGAGGTAGCTGTTTGAGTGAAATCACTTGAGTCAGCGTCGGTTGGGTCTGAAGAGCTTTTTTCAAAAATCTGGGGGTGTGGAGATAAAAAAGAAGTGAGCTTACCGGAGCTCTGCTTGAGGCTACATTAGCTGCTATTAGAATAACACACCCAAACACACTCTGACTGGACTGTCGGGCAATCTTGTTGCATTGTGGGTAACGTAGGCACCAGGTCAAGGAAGACATAATAAACAAAGAAGATATCTCTGGTACGGGCGGTATATTGTAATAAGCCAGTAGGTAATGAAGGGGAGTGAAATCCGAATGGCTTGTTGAATCGCATGTTTTATGATCGAGGCAGCCCACAATAAAACCGACTGGGTTGTTGTGGGGGCTGGTATGCGCTCCAGATACCCAAATGTATTTATACCAGCACTGAAAAGGTGAGTTTTTCATAATATGTGACCTTTAAAGGGACAAAATATGTGGCGTCGCAAGATCAACCTGTGTTAAAAAAGTCTGATTAACACAATTTCTGCTGTATATCGTCAAAGGTTTTCAGACTTCACTCACAATTGAACAGAAAACACATATATGAAGTGTTAAATTGCAGCTCTGAAGCTCTGCATCCTTGTTTGGGCACCTGTGCATTCTGACCGGGACCGTCCCATTGCAGCTCGTGTCCCGGGTGACAGTACGGGAGCTTTGACGCCTATATAAAACACGCCGCTGGGTCAACAGCCTCTCGTCGGCCGCCCGTCTGTTTAGACAGGGACACGCTTGTTGTAAAAGTTGTGTCGCTGTATGAAGGGAGCAGTTTCTCCGTCACAATGCCCATCGTGATTTATTAGATATGAGCAGGAGCAGTGGAGAGGTGGAGGACGGCACAGATTGATGCCAGGCCTGATGAACTTGCTGAATGCAGACGTGCTGAAGGCCGTTGAGGATGTAAATGAGGCTGTAAGGACCAGCGAGCGTCTTTGTCTGCCCGACTTTACTTGTTTGTTTAACCAGAGGCCGAGACAGGAAGCCAGCCCACACAACTCTGCTGTCCCTATGGCAACCCCACTGTTAATTGCGGCACATCCACTCCCGGGACTCCTTTCAGCAAAGGGGAGAGGTGGGGACTTTTGAGTGTTGGACGAGAGAAAGAAGAAGAGGAGGAGTGTGTGTGTGTGTGTGTGTGTGTGTGTTTCTTTTCCCTTGTTAGAGGAAAGGCAATAATATTGGGATTTGGTTTGATCATTTCTGGTTAAAAAACAACACTTTCAACGCGTCACCTTGAGCTCCTTATACCATTTTTGACTAATTGCCCTAAATTTCTAATTATGAATTTAAAAATATCAGACAGATTCATCAATAATGAACTGAATCTTCAGGTACAACAAAGCCTCCAGGAAGAGCGTCGGGCTTTGAGGCATATTTGATATATAGCGGCCAAACGGCGGAATTACAATTTCCGCATCGGAAGATTGACGGACAATCCGGGTAATTTTATACTCGGAAGTCTAACTTTTTTTTGACTTCATGCGCCACTTAGCAACTTTCACGGGGCATCGCCTCCAACACTGTATCCAGTTCTCTTTATACATTCATGGTTACAAACCTACAACAGCTCTTTCTTAAAGGATATTGTGTTTAGTTCATCACTTTCTGTTTACTACAATATGTTTTACTGCTTATTTTACTTCTGTGTACAACAATAACCCAGGCACATATGAAAAAGCCTTGGAAAAAAGTAAGAGATATTCGTGAATTTAAAAAAAGGCCTTCTTGTATTTAAGTTCAAATAGTATTCGGGCACTCACAGTGTGGTGGCAGAGTCCTCTTTCCCACAAGATGGCCTTGCTGACAAAAGACACATAAATGGGGCTCTGCGAGGAAAGAAGAGAGAAAACAAGCCAAATAAATATTATAAAAGTATCACAGGAAGACGGCACAGGTACATGTTCAAACTTAAAAACAGATTTATCAGAGTCAGATTGAGATTGATCAATCAAGGGTTCAGAAATGAACTGCTTTCAGTGGCTCAATCTCCCCCGGGGCCCCCGGGGAGAGCACAATGACTGAAGCCTGGCAAAACAAATGTAAAGCCACACAGTGAGAGGGCTCTCCAGAGACCTCCAACCCACCAGTGCATTAATAACCCCTCTGTCTTGCTCATCGAGCTGCTGTGAAACTCTTCCAGTGGTTTGAGCCACTGCAGCAGAAGCCTCAATGATGGACTCTGCTCTCCCACGCAGCCACTCGCCCAACATCTGCTCAGTTTACAAAACGTCTGCTCCTCGTCTCTTTGCCCCTTTTCTTTTTTTAAACATGTAGCTGCCTCAGGACAGCATGGTGGTTTTATGGTTAGGGTGCGTCAGTTTGACCCTGAGGAGCAGGGGCCGATGTGTTAACTCATCAATCACCGGAGACACATCACAAGCCGATGCCCAGCAGTCAGCGGAGGGGCTCATCCATCTCTCTCTCTCTGCGGCTCCCAGAAGCACAGAGTCAGCTCCAGAGTCGGTCCACTCCAGGGAGCAAGAGAGCAGATCCTCCCAGGACTCGCCCTCCATTCATGGGCTGTAACCCCAGACCAGAGTGGGTGACAGGGGGCAAGAGGGACTCGCATGGTGGGAGGACAATGGAGCTTGATGTGTGTATACATGTGTGTGTGTGTTTCCCTTTTCTTTGGGAGTGCACTGGTGTGGAGCTCTCTGCCAGCTTGTGGCAGACTCTCAAAACCCATTCAGTGCCACCATGAGAGGCTAGAGGGCAGCGTCAGGTCTGGCCATCCCCCCCCCGCCTTTGTGTATTGGCTTCACTCAGACTGTACCTGTTGTATTCAACAAAGCACGTTACATGTGATTACGCACATTGTGCCAGAAATATCTCACAAGCTCTCCATCCTTAATAGAAGCCATAATTGCAGCGAAATAATGAATATCAACCAATTTCCCCAGTGAATCACGGGGTGCTCGCTGCCCGATGACGTTGTTCTTACTAATTTACTAATTATGTGCTGAATGTGAAATCAAGTACATTTTGAGACAGTAGAGGATGAAGTGGCTGGAGAGTTGAGTTGACAACAATGTGGAGTAATTATTTTAACTGAAACAGAAAATAAGGCAAAGGATAAAAGCCGTCATTTAAATGAATAAGGATAAAAGAGTAAATTCTACATTTTCAAAAATCTGTGAGGGAAAGAAAATGCAAAACTAACTCTTAATTAGTTTTTTATTTAATGTTTTGTATTACGTTTTCACTATTAAGTCTGTTTGCTGAACTGCTTTAGATTTGTCAAATTTCAACATAAAGTGTAGCAACGTATTTTAATGAAATTGCAGAAATTTTAACTGCTACAATTCCGTGACAAACAGGAAAAAACATGAAGATCATGTGACGCCATCAAAAGATCCAGAACAGCTACTAAATGGAACTCAATCTCAATAACTATGGTTTGATTTATAAACTACTTTAATGACAATAAAGAATAAAATTGCACACAAAAAGGGGCAAAATAACACACATTTGTAAAACCGTGCCAAAAAACCCCAAAGCTGAAGTTCTTTTAGCTCAAACCACAATGCATCACTCAATGGCCTCTTTCTGCCTTTGATGTCATCGTTTGACCCATCATCACAAATACAACACATAATCCCATACAGGGTTTGTCTAAAGTGATTGCTGCTCCTCTTTTCCTTGTTCAATTAAGATGATGAGATTAGGGAGATTCTTAGCAGATGGGATCTCCACTGTGCTCGTGTAGACAGCGTGCATCTCCCCCCTTTTTCCACGCAAACCCCACCTCGAGGTACTTCCTGTAGAGCCACTGAGCACCAGAGCGGCGTGGGCCGGCAGGACTCAGACAGACAGGAAGTGCTGTGGTGCCGATGTGAGCCAGCAGGGGGACAATATGGTCAAATGTGGTCAGTCTTATCAATAATGAGTAGGTGGAACGGGCCGGATCAAATTACCAATTTAGAGCTAATCACCAAAATGGTGACTGGTCTTTGCTTTATCCCCTCTCCCACTCTGCTTTCTCCTCTCCTGGGTGACTCCTGCCGCCATCTGTCCGTCTTTCTCAGGGGAGCCCTTCCTCCTCTCCTGAGCACCGCGCTGGATGTTTTATTAATTCCGTTTCACCTGATTACACCCTGTCTGTGAGTCAGGGCACATAAATAGGCATTTAATCAACGTTTAATTAAGGGGAGCAGGCATTGAACACAGAGCCACAGAGCAGAGCTGCATCCTGGTGAGGTCAGCAGCAAGGACACACTAACACAGTATATGAAGAAATAAACAAGCACGTAAACCTGTGTACCACTCTAATGTAGAGCGTTTCATTAGATTACTGTGACGGCCTGCACCGGAACAATCCTGGCTGCATTCAAGACACCAAGGCATTGTGAGGACACAACAATGTTTAAGGTAACTAACGTTAACTAATGTTACAGTATCCACTACAGTTATAGTCCAAACTCAATTGTATCATCATCAATGCACAACAGCAAACTGCAGGAGATACCATTGATCATTAATGCTAATCTAATATTGGTGAAGTTGGGTACTTCGGCAGCTAATTATCTTACGTAAATTTCCAATTACCAACTACAGTCTCCAGGGAGAAACACTATGTAAAGATGATTTCACTTTTAAAGCTCTTAAATGTTGAAATATAGTCATTCAATTTAATGTAAATACGGCTATAATCTTTTAAACTCATTTTAGTCCAGCTTGTAGTTACTTTTCTGTTTTGTACCGTGATCCATCTTCAGTCTTTATTCTGTCGACCTGGCAAATGTAAATCCAATATTCTCGCTTTCAGACTCTTCAGTGCTTTGAGGCTGAATAAGTGAGACGGTGATAACTCAAAACACTTCTGCTTTCATTCTCAGTGTAGATGCGGTCAGTTCAACTCTGCCACTGCAGTAAGATCAATACACATATATCAGCTGCAGGATTTGTCGATAAACCAACTAACTTAGAGACAAAAGAGCTACACAGTTTCTAAAGCATGGACAAAAACTTTAAAAGCACACCGCAGGAACTCGACAATGCAGCGCAACACAGCTGATGAGGAGATCCAGTTCAGAAAACAATCAAGCAAACGGCCGAGCAATCGATGGCAAACAAAGGGCGAGTGTGACCACCTCAGCATGGCTTGGGCCAGGTTAGAGGCAGAGATAGAATAGACGAGCACCCAGATTGAGCGAGAGAAAGCCCGGGGTCAGTTATAATGAGCCGTGAATGTGAGCATCCGACCAATCCTGTTTAATGGGCTTCATCCCTGGAAAGGTTTTGGTCCTGCCTCGCACCGGTGTTTGTGTGTGCTCACGTTGGGGTTCGGGTCAGGGGGCTGCAAGGACTCTGTGACCCTGAAATGAGCTCTGGGAGTCAGTGGGGACCCCCGCTGGCAGGAGAGAGCTCCTTTATGCTTTAATCTGCAAGCAAGGGGGATCGATATGGCGACTATTGGTGCTGGGATTGTGTGCAGAGGTAAGCGGTCCAGCCATTTTAGATGTCTCACAGGGGGTTGGCGCACCCTGACAAAAGCACAGCCCCGCTGCCACCACCGGCCAACAATGACCTGTGGGACAGTGGCACACCAGCAGCTAACCTACTTAACATTCATTAGTGTCAGAGAGGTGGACAGATGCTCCGGGTCTTACGGATCTTCTCTCTCATGTTCCCTACATGGGGCTCATTCAGCAGCGTTTGACGTGTCTTTCATTCGGGATATTGGAGTTGTGGGCGGTGGCGGCAGCAGGCCGCTCGGCTGTGGGTTTTAGGAAGAGCTGGGTGGGCATGGATGGACTCACCCTGCGAGCGTGGTGCGCGGAACGGGACCCGTCAGGCCGCCAGCTGCTCATGCCGACTGGATGCCGGGGCCGAGCCAGAAGCCTCCGGGGATACCTGAAGTCCTGGTTTCTGGAAGCTCTGTTTTCCCAGTGAGGCTCTGGGGCTCCTCTTCTCTCGACAGCAGACATGTCCAATGAGCGCTAGTCTTTCACTTTACATTTCAACAAAAGAAACGTTGAATAATACACCTTCAAGCTCTGTAGCCGACTGGTTTAAGGGGAGAGGATCTGAGCAATGCCTCTCTGTGGGAGGCTAAAAAATGTTCTCTATTTAAAAAGCTTATGTCTGTTAATGATTACAATCCTGCTAAACTGGTGCAACTCTCTCATGCATATCGTTTCCTTGGCCACCAAAGAAAAAGCACACAAGACAATATTCCCATGCATGTTCTGAATTTTCAGGGAAATAATAAAGTTAAACCCTCCTGTTAAACATGGACTACAACAAACCAAAGCTTTCAATTAGGAAGTGAACAGCACTGTAGCCCCACACAGTGACAGAGGCCAGAGCAGAGATCAGGAGCAGCTGGACAGAGAGAGGGCTTTTCAGCCTGACTCCAGACACAACATGGATCAGGTTCTGGGCTGCTATACAGCAGCATAAATCTCCTGGGCTTAATTACATTACAGGGCATAGAGTGGCAAGCACTGGGGAAACAATGGACCCTATCAATTGCACAAATCAGAGCTCAGTCAAGTGTGTATGTCCTTGTGTGTGTGCAGGTTCTGAACAGCCCTCTATCTGCATCTCCAGCCAAAGCTTATTGTCTAGAGTGTGACTTGTGTTTGAGGTTCTTCAGTTTAAGATTCGTAGTGCAGGAAAAACAAAGTAAATATACTCTTGGTGTAATATTAACAAGGCTTGTGGACCAGTGGGAGGAGCAGTCCGTGTTTTCCATGGTGACCGGACCAAACACTTACAGACACAAGCAGCCAACCCCCCTTACAACTCATGTTCAGCTCCAAAAATAAATCTTAAAGACGTATGTTCTCTGCAGAAGCTTCTGAAGCTGCAAAAAACAAATCTGCTTCATTTAATTTCTCCAAAACTGACAAAGAAATTAAAAAAAAAGAGGAAACATGAGAGTACTCTGATTATATAAGCCCAATTTGTGACATGTACGAAAGCTTCTTGGGACCATCTGAGATCAACCTCTCCCCGACGTCTCCCTTCCTCAAGCACACTCTCTCCGAGGTCTCCCTCTGTTCAGCCCTACGGGGGCTCTGCAGGGCTTTTTGGGTAATCCAGACGCCACAATACCAGTTGCTAAGACACTGCCAGAAAATGCATTGTGTGAGGGGACGTACGGTTGGAAATCGCAGTGGTTTTGTGGCACGGATGAGAATGTTCTTTTTTTAATGACAAGAATGTTTGTGGCGAAGCTTGTGCATCTTTTCAAGTTATATTAATACAGTTTTTATTGCATTGAATAATCACTACAGTGCAAACTGACTATATGTACAGCTTGACTTCCTCTATTCTTTCTCTTTTAATCCTCACCGTCTCCTGTTTTGGTTTAGCTTGAAATGTGTTGTATTGTCATTTTAAAGGCTAAATAAATAATTTTCTCATATCTTATGAAAAGTTATTCCTCATTTGTCGTGCGTTCTCCTTCGAATGTCCAGCAACAAGTGGCAATTTCCACTCGTTACATGCATACAAATTAAAGTTCGGTCTTCACAGAAAACAACTTGGTTAGGTTGATGAAAAGATTGTGGTTTGAGTTAAGAATAACTGTAGAAGCGGCTGGTTTCACAAGGGACACGAACAGCGGCCTTCTGGGTAAAAGTCTGTCGTTTTTGGACCTGATCCACCTTAACCGTCCTCTATACGTTCTGGTTCACAATTCCGTGGATTACATAACAATTGATTTTGTGGGAAGTATGAAAATGATAGTGCATTACTTTGTGTTGGTAGGTTACAGTCGTGTTTGAGAGTTTTTACTAAAAGCAGCAGCCGACTGGAACCCGAAAACGACTCTAGCTGTGCGAGTGAATCAAAACAGTAAAGTTGTGGCTGCAAAGCCAAAACCAAGACGTGAAAGATGCTAAAGACTGTAGAGTCGGATGATTCTCTGTGTGGTCTTCACTATGAGCAACTCCTTTTACATACAGTCATATAAATATTGATTAAAGCTGTTCAAGCGTGTCTCTCTATTCATTTTCAAATACTTGAGAGTACTTAACTGGTAAATGAATATCTAATTCAACATCTGGCTGAGGGACAACAGTTGGAACTTGCTGGCACATTTACAGGGACTGTCCCTGTTAAGACAAAATAAATGTTATGTGCTTTTAAGATGAAAATGTAATTAATTTTCAATCTTTTTTTCTCAATTAGATAAAAAAAAAGACAAAAAAGCTCCCTCACACACAGACAAATAAATAAACACATACGTCAGCACACAAAAGCTGACAAAGCCTCTCACCAAACACATAAAAATACAATTACAAGGGCTTTCATGCTGTTCTATGGAAAGCAGCCCGGCCCTCTGCGTGCTGCTCTTTGTCGGCAGCGGGACCCAGAATCAAAGAGCGTTGACCTGCGCCAGCTCTGCCAGGCAGGCCTGCGGGAATTCCTGCTCTGACTCCAAACCCTGCCTGCCATGCCCCCCCCACACTTCGACTCCCTCCTGCTGCCCCCCGGTTCGCTCCGTTATTTCCTCATCTCATCAATCTGTCAGCTAAGCCCTTTGACACGCAGCACAATATGGTCCCAGTATTTCTCAGTTCATTCCCCCTCTTTTCAATATGGTTCCATCATTTCAAGATTAGTCAGCTCACCCACGAGGTCTGCTCCCCTGGTGCCGTTAGGACCAAAGGAGGGGGGGGGGGGGTTCAACACAAATATAGTTGCTAGAAGCAAAGCAATGGCAGCTTTCAGGCCTGAACAACAGCCAGAAGATGTATTTTAAATCTCTCCACATTTAAATTAAATAATAATAACAAATCTATCTAAACAAATTACAAACAGGTTGTAATTTCATAAGCAATCACTAAATCCTATATACTCTCTTTCTTTGGATATAGTGAAACCAAGATCATGTTCATCTCATTTCATCCCATTATCCATTATAAGTCAGGACAGTTTTGGTTATTCGCAAGTTGCATACTCCCACTCTTCAGGGCTTACGGCCAGCGTTTGTACAGTTTGGGATGGTTTTAGTCATGAGTTGTAGAGAAAACCCTAAGATTCGAAAAAACATTTTTATGGGCTTTGAATACGATTTGACCAAAATGACCAAACAGTTTGAAGATACAACAATTTAAGTTCCAGGGGACAAGTCCTTGTTCAAGCTAAAGATAATTCAAAATGAATTTAATGTCAATTGATTAAAAATGTGAGTAAATGAGGTGGGAAATCTTCAGGGATGTATTTTTTGAAGATCTGGGAGTGATACATACTGAATGTATGTCCCAAAAACGTTTCAGACCTGCAGCTGTTTCAGCCTTTGTTGTTTTGAAGTAGCATCCTACAGTATTGGGAATACATTAGTGCTATTTGTGCAAGTAAACTAAGATGTAATCTTCTTCTGTGTGATATTCTACACCCTTGCCAAGCATGCTCATTAACTGTCCCTCTTTCCTCACATCTGCTCACTACACACCTACTACACATCAGTACCCAACTTAAACGATGAATACTGACAAAGATTTGATAAAATCCAGTCGCTAAGATACTTTAAGTAAAAGTTGGCCACCTGTGGTTAACAGTTTTATGGAGAGAGGGAGGTGAAAGAGAGAGTGTATATTCCTGCCGCTGGACTGGACTCACTCGAGAACAGACCATTCAATTTATTTTCAAGTAAGGATGAAAGGAAGACTCCAAACTATGCATGTCGTCTATTCACGGGTGACGCTCTTTAAAGAAAGAAAAAAAAGACAGCAAAAAGAGTTGGGAGAGGGTGGAGGGGTGGAGCGCTGCATAAATTTTACATACACAAGGCAGCAGACAAAGTGACTGTTGCTTCCCCAAAACTTTTTTCCCTCCTCCAGAAAACACTTTCCTTGCTGAATAGGCACCTATTAGTGACTCCTTTATGGGCACAGGGCTCTTGAATGGCTCCTCACTGTGCGTCTTTATCATAGTCAGGCCGTGAATACAGGCAGCCCCCTCCTCGCATAGCCCAACCAAAATCCTTACAGCTTGTATTGATAGGTGCTGCGGTGCTGGTGATGATGGGTGAGGCAGGATGGGGGGGGGGGGCCGCCACTCACCCCCTGTTGTGTGCTCCAGGTGTGGTGGGTTAAGCGAAGCGCTCCGTGGCCTCTATTGTGCCGCGGACTTTTTCTTTACCACAAAAATAATAAAAATGGATGCAGTGTTTTACATGCATTAGCTGATCTCCATAATGCCATCCCCCCCCGCTGCACCCCAAAACAAGTCAGGCCTCCGGCGAATCGCCGCACACCGCCTCAGAGCCCTGTATTGTTGCTGGATTATTCAGGAGTTAGCTGAATGAAAGAGACAGGGCGAGTGGGGTGTCTGTACTTTATCTCCAGGGGAGACAGGGGCTAAAGACGGAGCTTCTTTAGAGGAGTGAGTTACTGCGACGAAAAGCCCGAAAACACCTGCAGAAGACGAGCGCGGGGAGGCCGAGGCAAGGCAACCCTATTGTTTGTCTTTACTTTACACGTCTACCCTCCGAGGTACCGTCAGCCAGCTTCTTCTGAATGCAGCAGACTTTATTTATCACGAGTGCCGTCTCATAACCTGTCACAACATTATCACCTGCAAATAAAACGCCGCTGTATGGGCAGACCCATCAGAATGTGGTCGGCTTCAATCAGCAAGACCTGAACAAACATCAGTGTGTGTGTGTGTGTGTGTCTCAGTGAAAGCATGATTCATTCAACTTTGAAGTTATGTGTGTACTCGCAGTTGAAGGAGGGAGAAACGGAGGGTAAGCGAGACTTTATGATGAATATGGAAGCATTGTTCAGCCATGCTTACCTCCACAGGGAACCATCTGCTCCCTGTCAATGCATCACCTGCTCGTCTGAGCCGTCTCCAGGGCGACAAGGGGTGGGGGGGGGATTAGGAGAGGCTACGGCATTGATGGTAGGGGCGGTCGCTGGGGACAGGGAGGAGGTTGACTGGAGGTGGAGGAGGAAGAGGAAGAGGAGGA